TTTTAAAGGGATATTTAAAGACGTTTTAAAGGGATATTTAAAGACGTTTTAAAGGGATATTTAAAGGCGTTTTAAAGGGACATTTAAAGGCGTTTTAAAGGGACATTTAAAGGCGTTTTAAAGGGATATTTAAAGGCGTTTTAAAGGGATATTTAAAGGCGTTTTAAAGGGATATTTAAAGGGATATTTCAGCTAATTTAATCTAGAAATGATTTATCAAGCAGAAGCATGACTAAACAGGACCGTGACGTGAGGAGAGCCCCCACCCATTAATGTGACCAGAGGCTGATGGTGGAACATCAACACTTTATTAGTAATGGTTTTATGAGTCCCTGAGGCGAGTGGGGGGTCAAAGGTCGGAMTGAGACCATGTTATTAACAGCAGGGATCAGGGGGCAGGGTTTATCAGTGCTGTCAGCCCCCTCAGTGGTCTTCAGAATGACTTGGCTTTAAAAAGAAAACATTTTGAATGAAGACATTTCTTTCTATATATCTTCTGATATGATAACATCTTCCAACAGACAAACAGACTGAAACAGTCGATAACGGTCCTGAACGCTCCAAACAGAACCAGACACACGCTCAGTGGAACCAAGAGAAACATCGTCTGATGTTAAACATCTGCTGAACAAATGTCTTCAAAGCTGGGTTCATCCAGTGCCCAATGAGGGCTGCAGCTTCTTTTAACATCCAGAAAAAAATCCTGAATTCTGCAAAAACCCAAACAACAAAACTGATAAAAACACGACGTCCTGTGTTAAAGTTCCTCTGAACTTCTTCAGTCTGAAACTCATTTAAAGCAGTACAAGTGTCCCTGTGTAAATACGTAATGCAACTCACTGATTAAAATTTAAACATGATTAAAATATTCATTTTTATGGGCAGAATGTAAAAAAATAACCCATAAGCTGGGAGTGGGGTGTTTTTAAAGCTACATTATGCAGCTAAATGTGTGGAGACTCATCAGTCATGCAGAGCAGCTGAACATCTGCTGGATCAGTGAGAAATAAGAAACCAGACTGGAAGAGCCTGGTTTTACTAAAACATGATGAGGAAGTCAAACCCAGGATGTTCCAGGGCTCCAGATAAAACCAGATATTAGTTCAGGAAGAAGCTTTCTAAATCAGCACCTAAATCTGAGTGTGAAGCATCGTGATTTCACCAACAGCTGGAAGGTGAATGTTAGCACCAGAACCATGCTACAGCTACACACACGAACACACACACACACACACACACACACACTGCTTCCTGTCAGTTTTCACACCAACATGACCCCGCCTTCTCTCAGGCTGAACTTGGCTCATTTGATATTTTCTATTTTCACAAAGAAACAAGTTTATTTACAAGCAGTCAAMGCAGAAAAAGAAGCCAAAATAATGGTCAGACTTGTTTTTGTGGAGGAATCAGTCTTTACTGGTGTTTTCTTTGTGTTTAAGTGGATCTGATGTAAATCTGCTTCTATCCTTTAACCAGGTTCTGATCTGTCTAATCTTCCAGCTKCAGTCCAGCAGAACTGCAGCAGCCGGCTCCATAAAGCTCACAGAGCTGATTGACTTGTGCTGACTGGCAGCTCAGCAGAACCTGTTGGTGGGTCACATCAGAACCCACTCCTGGATCAGCGACTCACCTGTGCGCTCTATGTAGTCGACACATTTCTCGATGAAGAGCGGGATGGGGCGCTCCGGAGTCACCAGGTTCTGAAGAGGAACACCAAAGTAGTTGCTCTCCCAGGTTCTCCGGGTSGGCGGGTACAGAGGCTTGGGGGATTTGGTCCCTTTGGCCTGTGAGACAGGATGAAGATGAGAGGAAGATGACGAAGCTAGCAGCTCTTAGAGGAACATCACCTGCTCTGTTAGCACCTAAAGACTCTCTGCTACCACCTCTCTGTACAACACCGTAACCAGCTGCAGCGCCCATCTTGAATCAGGTTCATCACTTCTAGACGTACAGGGTGAATAAAGGTTCTTTAACAGATTTACCTTTTCTTTCATTTCACAGGCTGTTTACATGATCAGCCATCAGGGCTGTGAGCCACCAAATGACAGGAAAACAGTAACTATAACCAGGAAGAGGAAGATAAATCAACTGAAGAAGATAAAAGAATGAAGAGCAGAGGAGGAGGCTTTACTGACCTGCTCTGCTCTGATTGGATAAAAGTGCTCTGGGGTTTGTTTGGTTTGTTGAAAGTAGAGGTGTGTTTACAGGTAGACTGGGCAGCTTCAACAAGACCGCAACAGAAAACAACCTGATGATGTAATCCGTCCCGGCCACGTTCAAAGTGACGGAAATCTGTTGTGGCGACGGAGAACTTTAAGCCCCGTCTTTCTTAGAAGAATTCCCCTTTGATGTCACTTCCTGTTTCACTTTAGCTGAGCCAAGTTCAACATAAAATGTGATTTATGTGACAAAATGAATAAAATCGTGTGTATTACGAAAAGTTTCTTAAATACAATATTTTATTTGCCTTTCTGTATTTGAAGTATAAATACATGTCACAGACACTTTAAATGCTGGTAAAGTTTAATTAAACTACGAGGACAAACAGCCCATCTATACTGAGAAGACAACAGACTTAAAGGGATATTTCACTTTTAAAACTTGTTTAAAAACACACTTTTACTCTCTGGCTTTTGGCACAGCCTGAGACTTTTTATTCTATTTTTATTGTTTTATTACTGGTTTTAGTGTTTTTAATCGTCGTCTTGTGTTTTCATGTTTTATATACTGTATGTACAGCAGTTTGTTGCAGCTGTGATTGTTTTAAAGGGCTTTATAAATAAAGTTGAGTTGAGTTTGGAGTGATGTTGGTTTGAAAAGTTATGAACAATAATAACTTCTTCTTTTGAAGAAATAAAGTTTATTTCTTTCCTCCAGCTAAAAKACTTATTTTTATGATAACTATTATTTTAATCAGGCGGTCGTTGTTCTCTCCTTTTTTATCCTTCTGTGGTGTTTTTAAAGAACAGAAATGTAAAATAAAGAGGACTTCTTACCTTTTTTGGTTCTTTAGGTGTCTTGGGCGTCTTTTTCTTCTTCTTCATCTTGTCGTCTTGCTCGGGGTCGGACGTGATGGCAGGGTTATCGATCCCGATCTTCCAGGGATCAGCAGGAGACAGCAGCGGGTCCTCCTCGCTGCCCCTGTGGGCTCGCCCTTTCTTCTTCTTCTGCGTGGCGGGACAGGACTCCTCCCCATCGCTGTCGGAGTGGAACCGTCTTTGGTAGGCTTTCGTTTTGCTGAACAGGATCTTGGAGCGGTGTTTGTACTTCGACGGCCGCCGTCCGGCCTGGGATTTCCTGTCGAATCCGTTCTCCTCCTCTTCTCCTGGATGGAGGCCCGGCAGTCCACCGAAGGAGTTTTTCACTTTGACCAGACGGTTGTGGGTGTCGTCTGGCACCACGTATATGTCATAAGGCCTGGGTCTATAGAGGGAGTCCGCCGGGTCTGCATAGTTATCTGACGCCTCCACGTCTTCCGTGTGTGTGATGGGACCCCGAGGCATCCTGCGGTTCCCTCGCATGCCCGCCTCGATGGTTTTGAGCAGGTTGGGGTCCAGTTTCTTCACATTGGGTTTGGGGAGCACTGGCTTGGGCCGGACAGGTGGAGGCACTTTGTGGTTGCGTTCGTGGTCTCCAACAGGTGTGCTGTGGACGGGGTACTCATTCCCCTCCAGGTCAATTCGGTACTTAGCTCGTTCGCTGGGGGTGGGAAGGAGTTGAACGTCATCTCCGATGGGACTGTAGGGGGGCGGAGCCTCGTTATCATCGTCCGACTCTGGGTAGTACGTGTTGTATGCTGGGGAGTGGCTGTGAGGCGAGGTGGGGAAGACGTCTTCGCTGGCGCCGATGGTGCACTCCCGGGAGCTGTCGAACAGGAAGGAGCTCTCAATGCTCAGCTTCTTATCCAGGACTTCGTTAAAGAAGGGCGTAAAAACCTCCGTTTGACGATGATACTGCGACAGAGAGTAGAGCGCCGTGAACTTGGCAGCGATTTCTGTGGCGATGTGCTCCCCCTCAGTCATCAGCTCCTTGATGGCGTCGTTCTCAAAGAAATCCGCCTGGCTGTCAGTAATGGCCACCATCTGGACGGGGATCACGTCGTGGACTTCAGCCAGGAAGGCCCTCAGGGTGGCCATAGAGGCCTTGCGTTTGGCAGAGTAAACCAGAATGTAGCCGTGCACCAGCTCGTCTTTCCGCACGCCGATGGCAGAGTGGTAGGAGATGATGGTGACTTGGATTCGGCGCCGGCTGTCTCCAATAATCTTGTCCAGAATGAGAGTGTTGCTCTGACCCGACTGCCCGGCGCTGCAGCAGTGTGAGTCCAGAAACGGCGAGAGAATGAGGTCGACGCTGAACGGATCCCAGCACATGGCACACATGACGATCCTCAGGTCTGTTTCTGTCAGGTCTTTGATGCAGGGCAGCGGGGCCAACACGTCAAAGTTATGCTTCAGCCCCTCCAGCACCGCTCGGAGCCCCTGCTTGATTTGGAACTCGGTGAACTTGCGAGGAAAAGCCCCTGAGGGGATGTCCACAAAGGTGCACTGCAGCTTGTTTGCCAGCTGTTGGCCCTGGTGTCGCAGGATGGGGATGTTCTTGCAAACGTTGTCCCTCTGGTTGGCCAGGATCAGAATGAAAGGGAGCGGCTGAGCGAATCGATCTCGTCGACCCTGAGCGATCTCTGCTCTGATCCTCCCGATGCAGTCACCGATGCTGTTCAGAGACTCGATGGAGTTGAAGACACAGAAGCAGCCGTGAGGCTTGAAGGTGGTGACCCACGTGTGGCTGAAAAGAAGCGTGGAGTTAACGTCCACAGGAAGAAGCTCCACTTCATAGATTTTACCATCGAGGGTGTACTCGTCGTCTGTGGACTGAGCTCGGATCTCGTTGGCTAGTTCCTGCGATAAACCGTCCTTCCCTAGGAGGCACAGGTTGATCTTGTCGATGTTGACGGTGTTGTAGTAGAGGTTGGCGCGCCCATGATCCAGCTGCACCAGCCTGTTGGACAGAACCTGCTCTACTTTCAGGTCCACACAGTTCTGTCCACTCAGACAGGTCTCTTTAGTGGGGTGGTACACAAAGCCGATGTGTTTGAGGAGGAGTGACTCTCGGTCTGGAGCCAGTTTCTGCAGCGCTCTGTACCTGGGTTCCTCATTCAGCACGCTGTGGATCTCACTCATCTTGTCGCAGCTCGGCGTGGCATTCAGGTCCAGGTCATAAAATAGCTCAGCATGCTCAAACAGCATTTCCTGGAAGTCCTCTTTGGCCTTTTCAACTATTTCCTGCTGGTGCCTAAGGTAAACGTCCCTCCGATCTGAGTCGGTTATGTACTTGTAGGCTTCATCCTCCATGACGAAGCACATGACTTCCTCCCACGGCTGCCCCGGACCGATGAAATGGACCCGCTCCAGCGTCTTCTTGAACCTCTCCTTCATCTCCACCCGCCTCTTCTCAGACAGCAGGTGCTGGACGTGGTTGTGGTAAATCCTCTCTGCCTCGTGTGTATCCAAGAGGTCAAAGGGTATCCTGCGGTCGCTGTTATCGATGTGGTCCGTTTCATCCCAGGGCGTGTGCTCCAGCACCACAAACCAGTAGTGGAAATCGGGCCGGTTGCGGATTATGGACTGAGCCTCGTGCCAGGAGAGGGTTTCCACCTGCTCCAGGTTGTTGAAGAGATTGTTGAGGGTTTTGGGCAGAGCTGTCAGGTACTCCTCTCGCCTCTTCTTGATGTGCTCCTGCTTCAGTTGTGCGATGTGCTTGGTGAACATGTTGCGTGCTTTCCGGGAGCCCTCCAGGGTGATGAACTCGTCGTAGTCCTGTTGGCCCTTCAGGGTATTTACAACTGTTTTCCATGTGGTGTTATAATCTCTCACCGTGTGAGTCATCAGTTTGTCAAAGCGGTCTGTAACGGAGGCGGTGAGCTGCCGCTGGACCTTATAGGCCTCCAGGTACGACACAGTTTTAGGTTTACCTCTTGTCTTATCCAGATGCTGGAGCAGAGCGTTGAAGCAGAGATCGATGTTGACGTTGAAGCGTGCCGACGTTTCGATCAGCATTAGGTTTTTCTTACTGGTTACGAAAGCTTGCAAGTCCCGTAGGTGCTGGTCTACACACTCGTCACATTTTGTGGCAGCGACCACGATCGGTTTCTTTGACTTGATGATTTGGGAGTACAGGCTGTTGACAAACTTCATCTGGTCGTCAAACTTCCTGTTGCAGCCCTTACTGACGTCGACACACAGCACGAAGCCGTCGATGTTGAGTTTTCCGTCAGGCATCTGCTTCTGGTCGAAGTCCTGCTCCAGGCCCAGCTGGTCCGTGCAGATGTACATGAGCTTCTCCGCCGACTGAAGCTTGGTCGCCGCCGCTCGTTTGGTGTACGGCTGAAGGTTTGTGCTCCTATGAGGAAGAAACGTTTGGTCATCGATGAACTCCGTTTGCTCGATAACCTGGATTTTACAGTCCAGCCCCTCGTCCCCTCGATGGGACACGTCCCCCCAGTACAGGAAGTGGTCATTGTTGACCACGCGTCCACCGAAGTCTATCGTGCTGAGCACGGAGGTGTGCTCGGAGTAATAATTATCTGCATCAGGACGCACGTATCGGTTGCACAGGCAGGACTTGCCCACGCCACAGTTGCCCTTCTCCTTCTCCGTCCCCGAGAGGCCAACCACGCTGACGGCGAATATCGGGGGGCGTGCATCCTTGTTCTTGGCCATTATATCCCCCCACTCATCGCTAACCTGCTTACTTTCAGAGAAAAGGGTCAGGATATCATTCCAGTGTCAGCGGGTCGGAGGACCTGTCATTTTCATCCTTTCTTCTTGCGGTGAACGCTCCTCTCAGTTCCTGTGAATCGTCTGAGCTGGGGTGCAGCAGCCAGCGTCTCCGTTTATCACCTCCCTGAAGGAAAGCAGAACAGAAAACAGTCAGGGGGGGCAAAACAAAAAGAATTTACATTAGGAGTCATCCACAACACGTTTACGCACAGCTACAGGAAGTTATCAGAAAAAGGTAATTAGTCAAAGACTTTTACAGAATGCCTGTTTAATTATTATAAAACTGAAAAATGTCCAACCTTCACCAGAAGAAGTTCAACAATAATAAATAAATAAGAATCTAGATTGAAAGACTTTTCTGAGGAGTGAACTGACATTTACATCAAATCATGGACTGAATTCAGTCATATTGGTATAAAATTAAACTAATTAGCTAATTATTAAAAAGGAGATAGTTCAGACAATGTAAAACAATACACAACTTCTTTGACAACCACTGACCTAATTATTGTTATTATATTTTATTTTTGACCTGGAGTACTGGTGGCTTGAATGAGTATTTTGCGGTTTCCAACTTTTGCTTAGAAAATATAAACGACTGTACAATATTTCTGCTGTTACTGAGCAGGACTGCCACGGGGAATTGTGCTCCAAACCTACAGGTAAAACCTGCAACGTGCACAGAGTCGTTTATTTATTTAATAAAAATGCTGCAACCAGCCAGTGAAAGTATCTGAGTCAAACCTGCAGCCTGAGCAACGCACCAGGAGGAATCTGGTTCACTGGAAACAAGGAGAGGTCCCCCTGACTGTTTATACAGGCCAAGGTGATGATGTCACCTCTGTGTGTGTGCGTGGAGACACGTTTTTGCTACACCGTGGGAACCATGTTCTCGAAAAAGCAGCCTCGTGGGTGAACGTGCATAGTGGGGACAATGCCTAGTCCCCATGTGTCCAAAAGCAAATTATGAGTGTGGGGTTAGGTTTAGGACCAAGGTTTAGGTTTAGGACCAAGGTTTAGGTTTAGGACCAAGGTTTAGGTTTAGGACCAAGGTTTAGGTTAGTTTTAGGGTCAGGTAGGTACCTGTGAGGTTAATCTTAGAGTGTGGTCAGGGTTAGGATATAAAGGCTAAAAACATGAATGGAAGTCAATGGAAGGTCCCCACAGGGATATACAAACCAGACCTGTGTATGAGAGAGAGAGAGATGAAAAGGAGGAACCCTGTCTGTACCTTTAAGCTGAGTTTATGGCCTCACGTTAACAGAACCATCTTTAACGATCTCTTTAAAACATAAATAAATAATTGAAACGTGTACCTGTGCTGAACACCTCCACTGAAACACACCCAGAAAATCAGAACGTGGTGAAAGAGTGAGAGCAAACAAACCAGCCGGTCGGTCAGGTTCCCACATCTAACGACATGATGTTTGACTGAACAGTTACCTGCCCACACACCTGACAGGGAAACCACTGAGCTCCTGAACAGGTGAAGCACACAAAACATCCTCAGTTATTCTTTAATACTCCAGCTCTGAAGGTGAAAATATTAATAATAAATAAAGACTTTAAAGACTAATAAAGCCAGGCTTTATTTAAAACATTTCAATTAACAACATCCATCAGATGAATTTCTTCAGCTAAAGCAGCAAAAAGTGTTTTATTACCTGTCAGAGTTCAGACAGGTACACCTGAACATCTCTATATCAGCATGTTTCAGTTTTAATAATGAACCACTGGATTGTGCAGAATTCAGCTGCAGCTACACAAAGATAACATCTAAATGACCCATTACAACCAGGAAGCATTTATCAGCTCAAACTATCCCTTTCAACACCTGTGATGGCATCACTTCCTGTTAGATTAGCCAATCAGAGACACCCACATTACAGGTCGGCTCATTCAAATCCAAGCTTCTGTTTTGCATGAAGTCTGTTCACCTGCAGAGGTGTGAACACCTGGAGGAGCCTCTGATAGGCTGATGAACAACCAGCCGAAGCAGAAGCCACATCTGTGCTGCACTAACAGCTGAACATGAGCCGAAGCGTGGTGATTATTCTGTCCAYGCTGAGGCTGCGGGGGATTAAGGTATCATTTTGCTGCTGGTGCTTAAACGCAGATAAGCCCTGAAACACAGCCGAACACACGGCAGGGAGAGAAGGCTTTTTATTTTACAACTGCATGAAGAATTCAGCAGAAATCCACCAAACAAGACACCAAGACACCAAGACAGCAAGACACCAAGACAGCAAGACACCAAGACAGCAAGACAGCAAGACAACAAGACAGCAAAACAGCAAGACACCAAGACACCAAGACAGCAAGACAACAAGACAGCAAGACAGCGAGACACCAAGACACCAAGACAGCAAGACACCAAGACAGCAAAACAGCAAAACAGCAAGACACCAAGACAGCAAGACAGCAAAACAGCAAAACAGCAAGACACCAAGACAGCAAGACAGCAAAACAGCAAGACACCAAGACAGCAAGACAGCAAGACACCAAGACAGCAAAACAGCAAAACAGCAAGACACCAAGACACCAAGACAGCAAGACACCAAGACGGCAAGACACCAAGACAGCAAGACACCAAG